ATTACAATTTAGCATATCTTCCTCCTCCCCAATTCTAATAATGCAGAAAATATATTTATTTCAGTTATGAACACCACTTTTGCTCACCGAGGCCGCACTTATTTGATAAAAGATACAGTAAAAACTGTAATATTGTGAAATATTATTACCATTTAATATAGATGATTTCTATGTGAATATCTGTTAAGCTGTAATTTATATCTGTGATCAAAGCTGTATTTTCAGCATCATTACTCCAGTCTTCAGTGTTACATGATCTTCAGAAATCATAATAATATACTGATTTGCTGCTCAAGAAACATTTCTGATTATTATCAATGTTGAAAACAGTTGTGCAGCCCAATATTTCTGTGAAAACCATGATGCATGTTATTTTTCAGGATTCACAGATGAATAGAAAGTTCAAAAGAGCAGCATTTATTTGAAATAGAAATCTTATTTAACATTATGCGTCTTTACTCTCGCTTTTGATCATTTTTTTGCTGAATAAAAGCATCCCAAACTTTATATATCCACAAAAACATTTAATATACACAACATTTTATCAGGATGACCCCAGATGTGCTCTACTAAATCATCCCTGATGTGCTTTACTTCTGCTCGTGTGTCGCAGCAGCTGGTCGCCTCTGGATTAATCCCTGTTTTACATCAAGCCACTTTGCTACTGCTTAAATATACAACTCTATACGTGTGTGTTTTTCCAAATAGCATAAACCCCTCAAAAATTACTCTGTTTATAATAAGCCATGGTAAACGTAATTTACACCAATTTAGAGTAACTGCTGTAAAATCATGATAATGGGGTCTTCATCAAAGTTCTTTGTCAATTTATTTATTTGTTTGTTTGTTAATTCAAGTTATAATACCAGTAGCTTTTATTAGAAACACACGAAAACAAACTCCATGTCTAAAATGGCTTTATTATTTTTAATTATTATTATTATTTTTAATTCGTATTTTTTTCTATTCATTGTTTTGATTTATTTTATTTTATTTATTAAATAATGCCTCTTAAAAGAGTTTTATTCATTTTATGTAATTCATATTTACTTAAACAATATAGATTCTGTATTTGTATTTTATTTTATTTTTTCGTGCAATTCGAAGTGTGCTACACACAGGTGAGTGGGCCTGTACAAACACCTGTAGTAACACACTCTCTATGCGCACTAGACACTTTTCACACACACTGCTGTGTGTACACAATCCCACAAAAGACTCCGTAATATGTGTGTTTACATGCTCATGCACTACAAATCATCTGCACTGTTCCCCAGCCAGCTGCTTGACTTACGATGTTTCCCTTTGCACATGTACAGTATTATGTGAAGCATTCGTATAGTTTGTATTTTTTTTTAGTTTATGTATAGGTAAACATTTATATATAGTATATTTATAGTCAAAATCTGTCAGTAGGTTAGTTGTGTATAGGTTGTACTGTTTTACTTCATTGTTGTATGTCTGTATTTATGTAGCACCGTGGTCCTGTGAGGCACCACTGTATGTCCCCACATGTAGCGGGATGACAATAAATCATTAATCAAGTTAAAACTTGAACTTGAACTTGAATGTATTCATTTTATTTTATTCGTTCTCTTGAGCTATCTTTACTTATTATTTTTACACAATACTATGTTACTAATTTATACATTATTTGTATTTATTTGATTTTTAACATATTTGTTAAATATTTATTTTTATTTCTTAATTATATGCTCGTATTTTATTAGTTTTTTAATCATTTATTTTATTTTAGATAATGTCTTAAATATTTTTTTTATCTATTTAAATAGTTTAGATTTTGTTGTATTTTTTTATTCGTTGTGTGTAAACGAATAATTATTATAAACGAAAAAGTAGTAATACTGTATTTTTTGACAGCGATAACTTGTCGATAGCGTCACGTGTGACGTTGCCTCCTCCTCCGTCCAATCAGAGCTGCGCCCGCTGAGTGACAGCCGTCCGGTCGAAACAAATGCACGTCCGCGTTTTCCCTCGTCCAATCATCTCTCAGCTCCCGCCCTCAAGCGGAAGTGATCTGTGCGCCTGCGCACATCCGCCACGTGCGCGGAAACACAGGCGATCTCAGCCCAGATTTAACTCTTCGAGAGCGCAGTGAGCTCAAGTTTAACATCGTCTGTGTGAACAGAAGATCTGGAGCACCGCTGCACACGTGTGTGCGAGAGATGAGCGACACACACGAGTCTCATGAGCGCACTGAACCGGCAGAGGGCGCCAGCGCCGCAGTGGTGAGTCCAACCAAAGTCCCTTTTAAGGATAAAGTATAGTTTTTGGTTCAACATGACGTTTGTTGGGTATTAAGTGAAACCTTAAAAAAATGAATATATAAACACGATATTGAAAATAAAAATAACTGTGATAATTTGTTGCTTTCATGATATGTTAGTGGAAAATGTCCACACTTGTGGTTAAGGATGGTAATGCATGATTTAGAATTATGGTAAATCTATTCTATTCTGTGCTCTATCCTATCCTATCGTGCTCTGTTCCGTTCTGTTTTACTCCATTGTACTCTATTCTGTTCCATTCTGTTGTGCTAATATTCTTTTATGTTGTACTGTATTCTGGTGTACTCTATTCTATTCTATTCAGTTCAATGTATATTATATTCTGCTGTGCTATATTCTGTTCTGTTGTACTCTAGTTATGTTCTATTCCATTGTGCTCTATTCTGTGCCTTTCTGTTGTGCTGATATTTTGTTAATTGTACTCTGTTCTATTTTATTCCATTGTGCTCTATTCTATTCTCTTAGCTCTATTCTGTTCTATTGTATTCTGCTGAGCTATATTTTATTCCGCTGTACTCTGTTCTGTGCTGATCTATTCTGTTGTATTCTGTTCTTTTCTGCTCTATTCTATTTGGTTATATTATGCTATTTTGTTGTGCTCTATTCAAATATAATCTGTTTCTTTTCTGTTGTCGCAACTCTATTCTATTTCATTGTGCTGTATTCTGTTCCATTCTGTTGTGTTGATATTCTATTACATGTATTCTATTCTGTTCTATTCAATTCAGTTATACGCCCTTCTGTTGTATTCTGTTGCAATGCATTTTATTTCACCGTACTTTGTTCTGTTTTATTATTGTATTGTGCTCTGTTCTGTCTCTTCTATTCAGGTGCATTCCATTCTACTCTGTACTATTTTAGTTTGTTGTGCTCTGTTCTATTTGTTTCACTTCACTCTATTCTGTTCTATTGTATTCTGTTGCAGTGTATTTTATTTCACTGTGCTTTGTTCTGTTTTATTCTTTTATTATGTTCTGTTCTGTCTCTTCTATTCCATTGTGCTCTATTCTATTCTATTCTATTCTAATATATTCTGATTCTTTTCTGTTGTTCTCTATTCTATTTCATTGTGCTGTATTCTGTTCCATTTTGTTGTGTTGATATTCTATTACATATTCTATTCTGTTCTATTCAATTCAATTATACACCCTTCTGTTGTATTCTGTTGCAATGCATTTGATTTCACTGTACTTTGTTCTGTTTTATTCTTCTATTGTGTTCTGTTCTGTCTCTTCTATTCCGTTGTGCTCTATTCTATTCTATTCTATTCTATTCTATTCTATTCTATTCTGTAGTTCTCTATTCTAATCTGTTTTATTGTTGTCCAGTCAGTGATCATGCCCATGTTTAATGCATCTGATTGGCTGGACGAGTGTCTGCAGGCCATACTGGAGCAGGATTTCCCGGACCGAATGGAGCTCTCAGTGTACGACGACGGCAGTACGGTAAACACACACACACACACACACTCTCTCTCTCTCTCTCTCTCTCTCTCTACACTGTCTCATACTGAATATGAATATCAGTCTGATTATGACACAGTCTCATATAGTGTTGTCAAAAGACCCGGTATTTCGGTACCAAGTCGGTACTAAAAAAATGAAAAC